TACAGTCTTGTCTTCCTATCTGATATTATGACACATTACGTACAAGATAAATAACACAAAGTGTGTCACTTAAAACTCGATCTATATAGAACAGATGGAAATGAACGAATAATGAAATTTTTATTTTACAAATTTATATTTTAGATTATAAACGCGACGAAAAGTGATTTTATCAAATAATTTTAGAACAGATAGAAATGAACAAATAACAATTGAAATTTGTATCTTAGATTACGAATGATGAAAAATGATTTTACCAAAGATCAATAACTAACGATTCAGGTGGACGTGTGCATATGTATGCGTAGAATATGCTTAAAATATGCTATAGACATGATATATATGCTGTGGAATAAAGATTAAATCACATACATTCCAAACGTAGCTTGCGACAAAATGCCCGCGAATACAAATTAATACAATAAAATGCTTCTTGTCACTGTTGACTAAACATCTTTGCTATTATATCTAGACATAAAACTGCTACGTCGGATTCCAAAGAGTATCTTGCTGCATTTTCTTTTTAATCTCAATGATAGGTGACATCGCGTTTAATGGGATTTATGCTCTGTAGAAAATAATATGAGTGTGCGTGCGCATGTGTGTATAATTGCATATATATTTGTATTTATATATGTACAGAATTTTGAGGATTTATCCGAAAGACTATGTTAACAAAAGTAGTTAGATGTTTGCGTTTATATAAATACAGTGCAAGCATAATGCGATAAATGGTCTGGGTCGTAACTTCTGTAACATTGTATATACGTCTGCATGTAATACGCTTGTATTGATACAAGAATTCTAATTGTGGTCTTAATAACCAGCGTTTAATTCAACGGAATATTTGTTTCCGTGTAAAAGTAATAATGTCAATAATTATGTATAATAAATGAAGGAACCTGAATGTCAGTTCCTGTCTCTCTGTAAATACATATACGCTGTAAAATATTTATAATTTGTGTGTAAAATAATTTTTTTCAAAAGATATAAAAGATATAATCTCTTTGAAAAGAGAGGAGATTTGAAAGAGAGTTGCGATATTGTATTGTATTTTGTGATGCATTGCTTTGATTTGTCGTATCGCAAAATTTACGTGAAATATTTCTACGATTACAGTCAATTATCAGATTTTACGAATTTTTCGAATACGAATGAGATAATAACTTATATTACGAAAGCGTGCTCGCAAATGGTGATCTATGTATAATGTATATATATTATGCTTGCCGATTTATGGGATGAGAGGGATACATGCACGTAACGAAATATCAAATAAAATATATTGTAAACCGTATATATATTTATCGATAAAGAGAGAGAAAGAGAGAGAAAGAGCGTACACAGTTCTACAGACAACGAGGCAGAGAGACTTCAAGTTGTATTGAAACCTACATATAATTATTGTCAATGCAATTTCTTTATTACAATATAATATATACAAGATTATACCATTGATTTTATTGTAGCTGATGTACAAAAAACAGGCAAGTTCATAAAAACAAATGGATTCTCATCTTTTTCTCGCCTGGCACAAATCGTTGGAACATTAATATTATGACAAAACTTAATGTGTGATTAATTTGTTTATATGTATGTACGTAAGTATACATATAATATACACATTATACAGGGTGTCCGGTAAAGACCGTAACAACGCTTAAGGATAAACTCCTGATATAACACCTGAAAGCATTTTGAAATAAAAATTCTAATATCAAAATGTTGAGGCTATGATAATTTTTAAATTTAAGTACTTAAAGTTATCAAATCATCCACTTAAAATTCATGCATTCAAATGTGATTTAACGGAAAATCCAACCGCATTTAAGCGCAAACTTTATGCGGTATGATTTGCTAAGTGCTTACAATTAAAAAATTATTACAGCCTCGATATTTTGGTATTAAATTTTTAAATGATCTCAGGAATCAACTCTTAAATGTTGTTACGGTCTTAACCGGACACCCTGTATATAAATTATGCAGTAAAATATATATAAAATATATATACTGTTTATGTATATATATATGTATATATATATATATATATATATATAAACAATCGTGAAAAACTAACCGGATAATTTTCAGTTAAATGTATAAATGTACAATATGATTTCATGTATCACATTTTTATTAATTAACTTAAGTGATTAATAGAATTTTCAAAAATATTACAAATCCAATTCTGTTTTGCAATTCAATAAAGATCAAAGCAGTCGGTTGTAAAACAAACAGACTTTTGCAATGCCAGAAATGGTTCGGATAATTATCACATTTGATGATCCGGATTTCTAAATTATCATAATTGATTGTTGTGCCGTACTTTGTAGTGATCTTGATCACGTAATGTGGCATGTATGATCTTTAAGAATAAAATAAGTGTGATACTTTGTGTATGACACGTTATATATGAAAAATTGGCAATGTGATACGTTTTTTCGACGTACATAGTGTATACGCGTGTATATCAGGTGTTCCCATTGTACAAGCAAAAGTTTGTTTGCTGATGGAAGAATGTAACGGAAAGGAAACACATTGTTAACATATTATTTTTTTCGTCATCGATAAAAAAAAAGTTAAATGCTTCTGATATCTTCCTCCATCGCATTATTATGAGCAATGGAATCTTTTTTTTTTTCATCAATTATAAATGAATAACTACCCTTCTCACACAATCTGCCGATCGCATACTCGTTTCTAAAAGCGCAGTGGAATGCTTGAGAAAGTAGTGCGATTACTGATGCAAAAACTTGCCAGTTTATCGGATTCAAAAGATGTCGTGTCATGCAGATTTTCTTATAAAGCGGAAAGATAAACACGCGAGATAGAAATCAAATATAATGATTACTTACAAGTTCGCTTTATGTGTAAAACATGCATCCTAGTCGGACAAACGGGAGAATAAAATTTTTTCGAAATGAATTAAAAACATTTTTGATATGTGATATTGCAATGTAGTTTTGATGATGATTCGTATGTGATTCTTCTTCGGATTTAAAAAAGATTTTCTATTCTAAATACACGTTCGAATTGGAACACTTTTGCAATAATTCATGTGCAATCGGCTACTTCTTAACTCGTTAATTGTCATTTGCGCGCTTATCGTTATTTCGCATTTATATTAATAATAATATACAGATATATGTTCCGTTGTTCTCTGTATAGATGGTATATGTATACATATACATATCCATATCCATATCCTCTCGACTAAACTGCCGTCTCGACGTAAATACAGTATCGTGTAAATTTAATGAATTTGTACCGCGGTTTTCGATTATATGTGTCGCGAGAAGACGACTGTAAGGAAGACGTTGATCGACTTTTCGTGTACATATTCTTCGGCGTCGATTCATGCCTTGAAAAAAAAAATCAACGAAATATGATATCCGAAATATATATACATTATGGCAAGTATTCGGAACGCGGTTATAATGATGTTAGAGCGTATTTAGCATAGTCATATAATTCACGTTATATATACTATAGAATTTCAGAAATAAAAGCGCACATTTGTTGGTAAAAGCGCGTTCTCAAAATATGGGCATATATATATTTAGGCTATTTCAAAATTTACTGTAGTACTGAAAATCTATAGTTTGCGTCACGTGTTTTATAGATTATCAGCACTGGCAGTAAATTTTCAAACACAGCCTTTGTTTGTGTGTGTGTGTGTGTGTGTGTGTGTGTGCGTGTGGTAGCGTGTGTGTGGGGAGTGTTGCGTAGACGAGCGATTACATTCGTTCTCTTCTATTCTGGCATAAGCTCAACCACTACAAGATTTTATTGTACAATATATATATATTTATATGTATATAAAGATGTGTGTGTGTGTGTGTGTGTGTGTGTGTATGACACCGATATAATGAACTTCGAGATCCTTAGTAGTATAATAGAACAGATATGTTCTTTTTAGCTGAACTTTACAATTATTTTTTTTTTCTCTCATAAACATACGTATATTCGTCTCATTTTAAGTACCAATAAAAATAAAGATTTTCAGCTAAAAAGAACAAACCTAGCATGA